CATATTTCTATGTTGTGTGTGTGTGAATGAGTGTTTGTCCTGCATGTGTTATCCAACCGTGTCGCTCACTCTGCGCGTAAACATGTGATAATTTATTTATTTATCTGACAGAAAGAGAGCAGCTTATCTTGAGGATTACAGGAGGCAAGCAAGGAAAAAAAAACCCAGCCCTGTGCTGCTCTGTTTGAAAAACTGCTCCGTGTTGTTATGGCAGCTAGTTTTCCTTAAATGATTTAAGGAAACGGATCTGTCTAAAAGAGCTGCAGCCAAGTTGTTATAGCAACACAGGCCTTTCTCCTCTAGGAGAAGGCAGGGAATCACCCCAGAGCATAGAGACTTCTCCACAAAGCAGCCCTGGGCTCTGAGGGACTCAGGGGGCCGAGGAGAGGGCAGGAGGGGACGCATTCACCTCCCATGTCCCTTCCTGGGCATCCTTCTTGAGCAGCCCTGGCCACGCTCAAGTTCGGGTCTCATCGTCTTTCACCTGCACCCCTGCCATCAGTGCCTATCGGGCACTCTTCTTCCGCTTAGTCTCCACGTTGCGGACCTAGTCACTTTGTAAAGCATCTATCATTCAACATCATATTCTCTCTGGTGCCGTGTTCTGCGCTCCGCCCTGGATACACATAGGACACGTCCTTGAATAGCATGTCAGGGACGTTGGCCTTTATCCCACAAATAATGGGGAGTCACTGGAAGGTTTTAAGCAGGGGAGAGAGCCTCAGGTGGATTTAAATTTTAGGACGTCTCTAGGGTTTTTAGATTGGGGGCCCGAATGGACTGAAGTACTATTGACTCATCCATCTCTCTCCCTCGCCCAAGTGGTTTCGATGACTCTTCAGTGATGGTACTGATTCTCAAGGTTGAGAGAGCTTGTGCGCCACAACATTCCCGACAAGCAGCGCTTTGTTCCACTGCCTTAATTGTTTTAACAGTTATTATACTTCAATTAAAAATCAGATTAATAAAGGGCCTAAGACTTTGATTTTAATGAGAAGAGAGCATTGGACCACAGGAAGAAGCCACATTCCTTGCCCATGAGCTTCCTCACAGCTGCCCTGTTGGATATGCTGCATACCCACCCCGGCAGCTGAGCTCTCCCACCTCCATTCTGTGGCTCAGCTCGCCCTGGAAAGCCCTCTCCCCTTTCCCTGTCACCTCCCTCATCCCTAACCCATAGCCACCTGATAAAATATTTCCCATTCCTAAAGGTCCAGTCCAAATCCCTTGAAAAAACTTCCTTGGGTCCCCCTGGGGATGCAAGCATGCACGCGCGCGCGCACACCGACACACACACACACACACACACACACAACAATGCTCGCAGATATAGACCCTGCCCATCAGCAAGGGTCTTTCTGATTCTCTGCCTGCTGATCCTGTATGCAGAAGGCCACCAGGATGGAAGGTGTGAGGCTGTGGGCATTTAGAAACAAGGTCAGAAGCTGTCCTGGCAGTTTAGATAGCTCTGGGGTTGAGCGATTCTGATGATGTCTGTGATGGTGAAGGTCCAGGGTAGAAACGCCATTAGGGCAGATGCCTGGGGCACTGCGGTGTTTACATCTGGGCACATTGACTCTGGAAGTTAAATGTGAATTTGAATGGGATACAAATGATGTTTGTTGAGGATCTGGTACACACCCGGTATTGTGTTAGGTGCTTTCACATAGCGTTTTTTTAAACACCTCTGATGTTTCTTCCTTTAAAAAAAAAAAAAAATTTATTTATTTTGGCTGCACCAAGTCTTAGTTGCGGCACATGGGATCTTTGTTGCGGCCTGTGGGATCTTTAGTTGTGGCATGCAAACTCTTAGTTGCAGCATGCAGGCTTCTTAGTTGCAGCATGAGAACTCTTAGTTGTGGCATGCATGTGGGATCTAGTTCCCTGACCAGGGATCGAACCTGAGCCCCTGCATTGGGAGAACGGAGTCTTACCCACTGGACCACCAGGGAAGTCCCTCACAGAGTTTTTAGGTAGAGAGATAGTATAATTTCTCATCCAAAAGGGATGCTTTTAAGAGTGGAAGTACGTACCATTAATAAATACTCCAGGAAAATGGGTATAGACCAGAACTGCCCTGGGCAAGCCGAAACTTTCAACCATCCTTTCTACAGATCACACTTTGTACATTCTTTTGGTAACCCTTGACGCAACTTGTAAATCTATATTTATCAGTATTTACTTGTTTAATGCTTATTCTCCCACTAGATTGTAAGAGTTAGGGTTTTGTTCACTATTACGACTACAATGCCTGGTAGTTAGAAACTACTTGATAAATATTTGTGGAAAAAGGAAGGAAAGAATGGAGTAAGATTCTGGGCAGGGGGGCGGGGAAGAGAGGAAGAGACGGAGGGATCCAGGGTCCTGGTCCAGGTCAGCTTGGCTCTGATGTTAGTGTTCTACATCCTTGCTTGGGGCGTAAAGGAGTGGGCTTTCGGGAAGAAGGCAGCTCCCACAACTCGCTCAGCATCCTAGTGTGTTTACCAAGGTCCAACCAGGTGATGATCCATCTGGTCATAGCACAAAGATATCCTAATCCCCCTGAAGCTCGGCCTTGCCTGATCTGTATTCTGTAACAGGATCGAGTGCCCAGTTGCCTGGGAGCAAATCAATGACTTCAGATTGATGATGGCAACGGCAGGCTGATGCCTCTTCTCTTTAGCAAACTTGACGCCCTCCCTTCTGTTCCTCCCCCCGTTCTCTCCTCGGGGATTCACCTAAAACACCACTTTTTTCTGAGGCCCCCACTCTGTCACTTCTCCGGCCTCGTGTCTTTTCTTTGATCATGCCTCGTTGTCCCCTCTGTGAATAGCTCTTTAGTATCTATAAACCATATTACAGTGGGCATAACAGGATTTGCCATGTTCAATCCAATGCAACTCAACAAAGAGTTATTGAATAGCTATTATCAGCCAGATCAGAAAAAAAGGTAGGGGCTGTCCTCTTTTAATAAGAAGGTGGCAGAAGAAGGAGGTGTCATGATTCTATCAGGGAAACTACAGTTAACACCCGAGGTCTGGGGGACAGAACCCAGCTGACAACAGACACCTCCTGAGCAATTCAGAAGCAGCATTTCTCTGCCAGGAAAGGTGGTCAGGATGGATCAAAAGTTCAGGGTAATAACGGGGTTTGGAGAGTATAGCTAACACCTTCTTTTGTAGACAAGCAGGGATGAATTGGAGAAGGAAGCAGATATACTAAAGCTATGGCTACGTAAGCCCTGACAGCAAGTGGGTTATAAAAAGACCTAGGGAAGCAAAGATCACAGAGGAAGATAAAAATGGCAGTTGAGTTAACTACTTTGCACCTAAGGTCTTTCTTACTTTTTCATTAATCCTTTGCTCTAATATATACATTTGTTTTTATGTACACAATTCTGCCTGTTCAATACATACTGCTCCTTCATTTAGGATATTCTTGTTGGTATCTTCAAAGAGAGTGAGTAGAATGAGGTACACAGGTGCATCATTGAAATACCCCAACTCTGGGACCTTTGCTGTCTTAGCAGTCACTGTCTGTCACCTGATGGCAGTCAAGGGGTCATAAATCACAATCATCAATGTAAGGCCAACTGGCCCGAGGCAGGGGAACACAATCAGATTCACAGGTTGCATCAGACCGAAATTCTCCGGACCACCCAGTTCCAGAAACTGCCCTGGAGACATTCCGGACCACCCAGTTCCAGGAACTGACCTGGGGACTTTGAACCCAGCCCAGCCTTCCCGCCTTTCGAGGGGCGGGACTAACGGTCCCCCAGGATACCCGAAAAGACCACCAAATAAGGAATACCCTGCGCCCTCCCAGATTCACCACACCCCTTTCCCTTCTTCCCCTATAAAATCTTGCCCGACCCTCACCCAGGGGCGACTTCTCTGGTCCCTTTCTCTCGGACCGGTGAACCTCGCCCGGGAGCGCTCCCTCATGAAGCTCACTTGAAGCTTTCCTCTGTTTCGCGGTGCCGTCTGTTAAGATCCGACCTTACAATCAATGTTGGAAGAGACTCACTCAGACGCAGTCTCACTATAATGTCTTCCAAACAATTGAGTCTCCTCCATGCACTATTTTTGCCAGTGTCATTTAGCTTCAAGTTGAACACTTTTAGTAAGGCCAAGTTCACAGGTCACACACCCACTCCGTCCTCAGGCAGCTCTAATGGTTAAGAAGTTTCATTTCTCTATCGACCTTACCTCTTGCTTTGGCCTCCCCTGGAAGATGTCTGACTATCCTCCTTCACAGCTCTTCAGACAGAACGATGGTGGTCGGCCTCCTTTCTTCTCTAAGCTATGAAACCCCAATGTCTTCTCCTATTTCTCACAAAGTCATATCCCTGTGAGCAAACTCAGTGTGGACATCCCCATTCCCCTTCCTTCTGGAATAGCAGGCCCTCTTCTCTAGGAGCAGATTCATCACTACCATCACACACCCCAAGGTCAACTACATGATTCCAGCGAGGCTGTCCTGTCCTTACATATCCTTGCCTCTTGGGCCACAGTTGCCCTGCCCAGAGGTGGCCGTGTCCTCCAGTTCCTGCCCAGAGGAACTCCAGTCCCTCCTGGAACTGGAACTAGAATATGAGAGTGAGTCACTCTCTAGTGGGGGGACCACTGGATGTGACAGTTGACACAAGCTCCCTAGAGATGCAGGAGGCCAGGCTACAGTCTTCAACTGTATAGGAGGCTCTGGGACTCTTCTAAAAACTTCTCTATTCTGTGTAAACTGGTTCAAGTTGTATTTCTTTCGCTTGTAACCCAAGAGCCCTGATAAATGTGCTCTGGTATATTTCCTCCACCCCACGAGATCTCCACAACTGAAGCCAGTATTCATGAGGGGTGGGGAGGCACTTGTCCAAGTCAGAGAAGAGACCAGCAGGCCTAGTCCCTCCCGGGTTTTGGCCCTGAATTCCTACTTTGCAGGTCCTAGTGGGCTTTCCCAGTACAACACTGCCCTTTCCCAGATCAAGCCATAAGACCAGCAGCTGCAGAGGGGGTTCAGGTACTCACTGGGTCGTTGTACATCTGAATGATGAGCTGTTTCACCCCATGCAGGGTGGGGTGGGCCCATGGAGAGGGATCCAGCCAGTGACGGTTGAGGTCGAACCCCATCAGAGAGCACCTAGGCAGTACCCAGAGTCAGAGTCAGTACAGGAGCAGTCATTATGTCAGTTACCTAGCACGTGTTTGTTTGTTTGTTTTTTGCCAGAGACAGTGCTGAGCATTTAACACGTGTTAATTCAGGCACTTTCAACAACCCTATGAGGTCACTATTATTATAATTCCTCCTTTACGGAAGAAGAAACTGAGTCACGGAGAGGTTCAAACATATTTCTGCGGAGCAGTCTCACTTCAGTGTCCATGAGACCACAGACGCATGCGCATCTCCAATACAGGGCCAGAAGGAAGGCTCAGGCCTAAACCATCGCTTTCCCCACTGTTCCTCTCTGTCTCACACCCACAGCCAATCCATTGTGTCTACCTTCAAAATATACTCAGAACCCAGCACTTTTTATCACCTCCACGGCTATCACCTTGAGCTTGGACCAAGGTCCGGAGTACTGTAATAATCTCTTACCTGGTCTTGTTTCCACCCTTGCATCATCCTACCCCACCTCTCACCCTACATACCCTCCCCCTTTTCCACACAACACCCAGGGTGATCCTATTAAAACATGTCTGATGGTGTCCCTTCTCTGCTCAAATGGTTCTCTGCTAGATGCAGAGTAAGAACCAAAGTCCTTACCACCAGCTACAAGTGCCCATGTGGTCCACCCGTTATCTTCTCTCACTTCAGCTCCTAACACGGTCACTCCTGCTTCTTCTGTGCCAGGTTCTGGCCTCTTACTGTTCCTCCAACAAACTGAGTGCTTCCAGCCCAGGGGCTCTCGTACAGGCTGTCCCCTCTGCCTGGAAGCCTCTTCCTCCAGGTAGCCGAGTGATTCGTTCTCACTTAGTGCCAGTCTTTGCTCACAGGTCACCTGCTCAGTGAGGGCTACCCTTCCCACCTTCTCCACAATTTCCCATGGGCACATTAATTACTTCACCAGGGCAAGTGGGACCGTGACCTCTGGTCTCCTCCTATCCCTCTTCCTTCCCTTTTTTCCTCCAGATCGACTCAAAGCCTTGCTTGTCCTTGGAAAGATGCACCACCCCCAGGTCTCTGGGCCCCCGCTTCCCTCTGCTGGGCCTCTGCACACTGTAGGCTTTCTCCAGGCCAGCCCAGGCTGAGGGACAACTCCAGAAACCCTGTTCTTGCGCACAACTCAAACCACCGCATCCATCCTCTTCCTGTCCCCAGAATGTCTCCCACACAGATCTGACAATCTTGCCTTCTTGATCAAGATTCAGCTATGGGGGCTTCCCTGGTGGCGCAGTGGTTGAGAGTCCGCCTGCCGATGCAGGGGACGCGGGTTCGTGCCCCGGTCCGGGAGGATCCCACATGCCGCGGAGCGGCTGGGCCCGTGAGCCATGGCCGCTGAGCCTGTGCGTCCGGAGCCTGTGCTCCGCAACGGGAGAGGCCACAACAGTGAGAGGTCCGTGTACCGCAAAAAAAAAAAAAAAAAAAAAAAAAAGATTCATCTATGATTCTCCATCACCTATAGGATAAAATTCTGCTCTTCACAGATTTTTAACCAGATTCAAAACTGATGAACTCTTTGCCAAATTGTTCCCCCCTTCTTGGCCCAAATTGTCCCCCTTTTCTTTTCTATCCCTTCCATCCCATCTTATTTTACTATTTTACCCATCCCTACTTATTTTCCCAACCCCTCTATTTCCTTAAGTAATAAAACTCAACCCCCTCTCAGCTTGTTATATTTACATCCCCACTGCTCATCTTACTCAGAAAAATAAAGGATTCTACCGAGGACCCCTCCTTCAAGGTGGCTGGGGTGTTGCTGGGGAGTAAATAATAATAATTTCCCCCATCACTTAAAGTAAGCTGGCTGGGAACCCTGTGGGAGAATAACTGATGTTTCGTGGGGACACATAGGGAAAGGCTTCACTGAGGAAAAACCATTTGAGTTGGGTCTTGCTGAATGAATAGAATTTTTCCAGGTGTTGGGGGCAGAAGGAAAAGTGTAAGCAAAAAGGGAACTGTGAAGCCACCCCGGCTATTGGGGGAATGGTGGGCAATTTGATTTGACTGAATCATAGAGTACTATGTATGTATGTAGTGAAGAGGTGGTGATGGTGAGCTGTAAAGGGAGTGAGAGGGGAAATGTAAGGGCCTCGAGTGTCCAGCATGGAGCTTCACTGTTTCGTCTTTGCATTGCTCTACTTAGATGAATTGGGTGCTGGTGTTGGCTTCTCACTGATGGCGGAGTGGGGACAGAAACAGTCATATGCAGGTTACAACAGCATCATCACCACAGTCAAGGGGTCACAGTCAGCAGACATTACTTTGTCCCAAGAATTAAGTACTTTACTAAGTGTGAAATACTTTATCTATGTCAACCGTATGAGGGAGGTACTATTATTAGTCCCATTTTGCAGGTGTGGAAACTGAAGCACAGAGGGTTATAAACAACTTGCTTGAGAGAAGGGGTGATATCAGGATCGGTTTACAAGCAGTCTGACATTCCGTGCTCACAAGAAACATAGTCTAACAGGAGAAAGAAGATCTGCTCACAGGCTTATGTACATTTATAATCCAGGACCATGTTACGAGGATTAAGTGAGGACAAACTTAAGTTAGCACAGGTTCTGGCACATAATAGCGGATCAAAAATGTTACGTTGTTTCCTTGTACTTTATCATTGTTTTGTGCTACATGCTATATAAGTGGCACAGACTAATCGGTCTGTGGTCCATCAGGGGCTGGAGTGGGCAGCAGACAGCAGTGGTCAGGGATGACCTCCTGGCTTTCTCCCCAGTCTGGAAATCAGGCAGATCTGAGCTCACATCCATGCTCTGTTCCCTCTTAATGTAGTAGGCATTTGCCCATTTTCTTTGGGGAATTCCTAGCATCTAACTCTGTGATTAGATGGGGCAGCATTAGGGAGAGTTCCTTCCTCCATCATTAAAAGATGATGACACGGTGGCGGTGCCTTTTCTCTTACCCCAGAAGAGAGATGGGCCCAATGACTTGGCGTCCAGGGCAGCGGCAGGAAACCGAGACTCAGGCAACAGCTACTTCTGTCCAGCACTTAAATTTGGACTAGGTGATGCCACGCTGGGAGTTGGGTCATACAGCAGTGCTACCGTGGAAGAGAGATAGATTATTCCTGCCAACAGCCAATTTTTCTGCCCTCCAGAGCTACTCTGTTAATTAGTTGTTTTCCAAGTCTGGTCTTCCAGCTTCTGCTTCGTTCTGTAAGCCCCTTCCTATAAATTCCATTTTTGCTTAAGTGGCGGAGTCAGTTCCTGTTTCTTTAACTGACAGCATCCCTAACCATATGGCTCTGTGGGCTAATTTATAGAAAATTCCAGCAGGCCCCTATATTGCCCACTTCCCGATGGCTGGTTACCAAGGAGACAAAACCATTGGTCTGGGTGCTGTTCCCAGAGAGCTCTTCCAGCCCGCACTGAGCATCTAAAAATTTGGAAGGGAACATTGTCGTTGATGACAGGACTTAATCATAAACTGTATCCTTTGAGATGGTTAGCTTACCTACCTCTCCCTCTTCCGAACAAGAATGTCCTCAACAAAGTCTTGGCCGAGTCACCAGGCTGTTCCATGACACCTCCAGGACCTGGTACTCACCACCTCCCCAGGCAGCTTATCCCATTCTTGGACAGCTCTGTTAAGAAAGTCTTCCTTCTCTTTAGCTGAAATTTGTCTTCTGGTGACTTCACCCATCAGTCTCAGTCTTTCCCCACGGAGTCACACAGAGCAATGAGGCTACGCTGGGAAGGCCAGAAGCTTTGGGAGTCAGTTAGGCTTAAGTTTTGGCTGTACTCCTTACCAGCTGTGTGACCTTTTTAAAATTTCTTTTTTTAAAACCCCTCTGGGCTTCCGTTTTATCATATGTAAAATGAGGATAACATCCTCGACCTTCTGGATTGCATACGTGAACTAGTGTCTGTAAATGACCCAGCAGAATCCTCAGACAGAACGAATATTGAATACATGGTAGCCAGTGAGGACAGTGGCAGTGGTGGTGACTGTGGTATCGTTGAAATTGTCTAAACCTAAATATCTTCTACTCCAGGAAGGCTTGCTGACTTCCCCTCCGCAAATGTGGGATGGGTGCTTTTCCTCTGCTCCTGGCATCCACTGCTCCCACATCGGAGTGGCTACAGCACAAGATAGAGTAATTATTGAGTCTGTCTTCCCCACTGGACCATGAATTCCTCAAGTGCAAGGATGATGTCTTATTTGTGTTTGTACTCCTGTGCCTGACAAAGAGCCTGGACTACAGTAGACGTTAAAGACTTAGTTGTTGAATGAACATTTCATTCTTTCCCAAGCATTTTCCTATCTTATATGATACGGTTCTCACAACCATCCAGCCACACAGGTGGATTGCGTTTTTCAAGTGGGAGCATTGAGGGCCAGAGAGGGTAAGGTAAGCCATTCCTCCAAGGTCGCCTAACCTGTACTCCACAGGGTCCAGACTGGAATCCAGGTGTCCTGGCCCTGGGCTCCATGGTCTTCACACCTGGCCATACTGCTTCCAGGAAGCCTCTCTGATTCAAAAAAGTGAGATTTGAAACTGAAGGAAAAGTGTTATTGGTGAGAGATCCTGAAAGATCCACTCCTTGATCCAGACTACAGGTGAAAGCAGAGTATGGCTGGTGATTCAAAGACAACTCAGTCCCCAAGAATCCTGGAGCTCTTCAGAAGCTAAAGCATTTGCGGAACTCTGAAATCAGTAGTACCTGTGCTGGGTTTTTCTGAGATGATTTTTAAAGACTGCTTCTATTGGCAACCAGTCTATCAGTAGAAAGAGTGCTATTTATTGAAGAAAACATCTTAGTAAAGTTGCAGGAGCCCTGGCTAGGGAACAGGCCTCACCTCTAATATCTATATCATCTTGGGAAAGTCACCTCCCTCCCCTGGGCTCCATGCTCTTCTCGGTAAAACGAGGGTGTTATACTTCACTCATGGAGGACTCTTCCAGCTCTCTCATTAAGTGATTCAAAAGCATCAATAATTGGACTTTACCTCCAATGTTA